TTTTATAGTAATATTTGAAAAATGTACAAAAAAATATATATTTATTATATAAATATTATTAAAAATAAAAGAATTTTTAATAATATTAGACAAATTGTGTTAGGAGAGTTTCTGAGCTTTGTGTTAACTAATGTTATTAACATTATTTAAGAATGCATTATTGTAGATTGAGAAACGGTATATTTCTCTATCTTAAATAATGCAAACTTAAATAATGTTAATAACATTAGTTAACACATCGCTCAGGAACTTACTATTATAACCGGTTATATTCATATTGTTATGCGCGTATAGATTTGAATATCCCCACTATTGTTCACTTGACCCTTTTAGTTCCAATTTTTCTACCTCATAGGCTTTTTTTTTTTAAATCGTGGACGTAGGGAAGATTCGAACCATAAATCTTTGACATTACCGACACGATCTTGGACATTGGCTACATAGTTCAAAGTCCACGGTTTGTGGACATAAGTGGCGTTTCAAAATAAAGTAACAGCTAAATCCCGGGCATGGCCGCTCTCAAGTTTCGTTGAACCACCCGACCGGTGCGGACGCGTTTCGGTCCGGGTGTTCGTTTTTTGTATATTTTTGAGAAAGTGTTGCCGACTTTGACCGTGCCTCGAATTTCCTTACTGATGTGTGTCCGCGTTTGGCTCGGCTCGTTCGTCCGTCCGGACGCGCGTTAAAGTGGCGTGACGACGTTGCAATCGCAGGCGCCCGGTGTTCGTTCGGGTTTCGCCATTTTTCGCGGGCATTGCATCATTCTTCGTTTACATATTACGACTTTGTTTCGTTTACACATTACGATTTTTCGTTACTGGCCTTGACGATTGCCGTTGGATCGGCTACCCGGCCAATTATAATCGACAAGAAGAAGAAGATGGCCGCTCTTCAGGCTTCTCTCTGGTTATACGTTGATGACACTCAGATGAATATCTGAACCTAACTTAACGTGAAGAGAAATGAAAGAAAGATGAACAGTGCAAGCATTTTAACTAAAAAGATCAGACCTAATAACTTGTCGGTGTTTTCGACGCAAGTTTCGATAATATTTTGGAGAGGTTAGAAAATGTGTACTCGTCATTATTATAGAAATTTTGATGAAAAAATAACCGAAGAGAAAAAAAAAAGTCTTTGAAATAGTATATACATATATATATTTATGTATGTATTTTTATATCTGTCACACTACATTATTGTGAATGTTTTTTTTTGTTAATTATCTTGCATGTGGTGAGATTAAGAGATAATGGTAACGTTTTAATAAGCTTTTACTATTGAAATCAATTTTGTTAAAGCTGTTTAATAATGTGATATTATCAAAAAATGTACTAATTGTCTTATGCATTAAATTGCATATTAAAATTATATTCAAATTAGAATATATTTTTTTTTACCATTATATAAATACACCATCTTGTAGATGTATTTATTGAATACTAATGTATGTATCTGTGTGTGTGTGTGTGTGTATATATATATATATATATAATTTATGAGAAATGAATAAATAAAATAAAATAATATAATAATTTAATCATTATCAATAATAAATAACATTAGTTTATTAAACTTTTAAAATGACTTGTTTATTATTTTTATAATTCTGTTTTTATATAATAATAGTTCTCTTTATTTAAAAAATATATATATATTATATCACAAATTTTAATGAATTATTTCTAAACAAATTTTAATTCATATAAATCATGAAATAATTTTAATAATGAATGAATTTAACTTTCAGGTGTAGAATAAATGACGCTGTTTTACAAGCTATATCAACCATTACGATCTCATTTTTATAAGTTTAACATAAATACATATGTCTTATCAAAACGAAACTATAAAAAAAAAATTATTCATTTAGAAAACCTAATCACAGAAAATGCTGATATATATGAGAAAATGAAAGGAAATCTATCTACAATAGAATGGAAAAACATACGAGAAGAAATTCTTCAAAAAAATGCAGCAATCACACCATTCATTGTAGACTCTGTAATCATAGATATGTGTGTCAAATATTTTCATGTGGATAATGCTATTGCATATTTCAAATTCTTGAGGGAAAATAATTATTCTTTGAATGCAGGAGTGATCGGAAAATATCTTAAACTCTATGTTTTGAAACAGAACTCCTTGACTGATGTAGATAAAATAGAAATTGTAGAAACATATAATGTTTTGAGGCAAAAGTATCAATATTTAGATTATGTTACAGCTGAAAATTGTATAACAAGCTTATGTTTGACAGATGAATGGGAGAAAACACAAGATATAATAGACATGGTGAATATTACATCTACTCCAGGCACTAATATATATTCTGCATTAGCTAGTGCAGCATTTAGAAACAGGAAATCCGACATTGCATGGAAAGCACTGTCAGATTTAGTGTTGCACAGGCTGATTCCACTAAAACATGTATACACATCACATTTACAATATTGCCAGCTGGAAACTGCAAAATTTTTCAAAAGTAGAATGGAAGAGATGTTTCATTTCTGGATTAAATACAATATAATACCAAATGATCAAATAATAAGAGCATATGCTAATACAGCTACCAAATATGGTTGGTCCACAGATCGCACAGTAATCCCCAAAAAAACGTTTGTTGTTTTTTTTAAATATTTTAGCCATTATTTAGTTTAATACACTTAGTAATTTTAAATTATTTAAATAATAGTTTTAAAAGTTTTAATAATTAATGATAGAATTCTTTGTTAAGTAGTAGATAACTTTGTAAGTTATCAATAATTGTAATAATATATATGAGTACAGAGTTATGACTTTTAAAATAATATTTAAGAATTTACTAAATAAAATTAAAATTTTAAAGCAAATAGATTAGTATTTTTGTAGAATAAATTTAATATTTTGAATCAATTGATAAAATTTTAATATTTATGTTTATAGGGGGAATTGTAAACATTGCGGTCACTCTTTGTCCAAAATAACATTTAGTGAAGACGAATTTCAGAAATTGGCAAAATTTATGATGGATAGAGTGATTATAGGGTCGGATGTCTATCGCAAAACTAATCCACAAGAATTGTTGAAATTTAAGGAATTTATTGAAAATACTAAACCCTTTGACATAGTCATTGATGGACTTAATTTAACATATCTGCAGAATTTATCTGCACCTAAATTAATGCTGGTAATATATATTGTTTTTATTAAAACGCTTGTAAATTCATGTATATCAATATATCGATACATTATATAAGTTTATATATGTAGAAATATCTATTATAAAATAATTTTTTCTGTTATTTTTCTATAAATATATTAATTATTAAATATTAATGTACGATTTATATTAGCTTCTGAATGTAGTAGAGCATTTCAAAAAATGTGGGAAAAAAATACTCGTATTGACGCGGAAACATCAAAAGAAGCTATCTGAATTTAAACGCGTAGAGCGAAATGCGTACGTCTTTTTGATAGATAATTTGTAAGTATTGTGAATATAGATACTATAGAATTTTTTTAGATATAATTATTATTATGACATATGATTACTTTATAATTATATGTACAATAAAAAAAAAAAATATATGTGTGTATATATATAAACATTATAAAACAATTATAATATTTTGAATAAATTTTTTGTAAACAAATACATTAAATTTTAGATCTGCTGATGATCCATACATACTCTATGCAACTATGGCATGTGGGATGAATACAATGTTTGTTTCGTCGGATTTAATGAGACAACATAAACATTCCTTGCAAGATAAAGACATACAACAAAAGTTTAAGAAATGGCAGTTTTCGCATCAGTACTTTGTCAAGTTCAGTGCAACTGGTCTTCGTATTCAAGAGCCTTTTACCTATTTGCCGATTGTACAAAAGAATGATAACTGTTGGCATGTGCCATGTGTCACTGAAGATCTTAATACAGAGATTTTAAAGGAATTTTATGAATTCTCAGATAAGTGGTACTGTTTGAAGTATAATGAGAAAAAAATGTATTAAAATGTAAAGTTGTTTATTGGATGAAATATATTTATACAATAAAGATCAGATGCGATTTAAAGATATACAATTTTATTACTGTCTTTAATAACACGCAATATGATGTTTCTTATATAAATTTATAATAAATGTTATAAATTATATTAATTGCTTGGGCTGTACTGCATTAGGTCTGAAGACTAAGATATTTAAATTAACTAATGTTCATAATTGCTTATAATAGCCAAAGTAATATCTAAATTAAAGACAAAATGAAATTAAACACCAGAGGTAATAGTAAAAGACGTAGTATTTTAATTGATTTGTAATACATATATATATTTTTTTTATCTGTAATATATGTATATTTTTTCATTTTTCGTGATATATATATATATATATACTCACTGCTTATACTCACTTTGGCTCTGCTAGCGCACAGAAAATTATTAATGATGAATCACTGTTACATAATTATTGTTTACCTCATCGAGATAGAAAAAAACCGTTAATAAGCACTTTTAGCGGAAAAAAAATATGATGAAGCAATACACAATTTTTTTAAAAGCTTCGAAAAAGTTTTAAAATTTAATTTAAACAATATATACATTTTCGTCATTATATAAAAAAATGTAGTAATTCGTATTGTAAATACAATAATAAAAATTCATTTTTTCGTATTTCCTGTTGTTATACGTGCTCGTATTGCTCACCCAATTATGATTGCTTCGATTCGATTATTTAAAATAATTGTAAATAGCATTTAAAAAAGCACATGAGCATCCAAAGCAACATGTATATATGTATATATATATATATACACATACATGTAATTATAGTTACTTTTTGTATAACTAAATCTTTTTTACTTTTCCAGTATATCTTATTTCTTTTTCCCCTTTAACGTTCAGTGTTTCAAAAATTTAATGTAAAAGTATAGTATAATAAATAAATACAAAAAACTGGCAGATGCAAAGAATAAAAATTGCAAATATAAAGAACAGACTTTAAAAGGAACGAGAGTTGCTTGTCGAATAATCGCGTGATGAGAATCAACCCATTTGTTCGCAAATGCAGCTGCGCAGTGGAGGTCGCTGCAGTCGCGGCTTTATGATCTAATCTAACAGAATTATCGCGCGATAATTCCGTACTATAATTTATCGCGTTTCTCAACGCATCCTTCCGTCCGAATTCTTGGGTGTTGCATTTCTGCGCGCTTTTTCGCAGCCAATCGATTTCAGCGTTCTTGCTCTGAACTCTCGTCCTTGCCGGATATGTAATGCTGCGTGTCTGCGCCCGAACCTCGCCATCTTTGTCTGTCACCGTCGTCGTCGCCGCCGCCGCCGCGAGGACAGTCTCGCAGAACGTGGTCCGGATGTTCGCTGATCGTCGTAGTATTTTCGTTGCGTGAGAACTATCGTGAGTCTCTCCGTTCCAAATCACAGACTTTCCAAGATCGATCAAGATCTACGTGAAAATACTGTGATTTCTTCTCGCGCTTCTCCGGCGTGTCGGTTCCGCGAGAGAAACGGAGAGGCTCTCTCCTTCAACGAGGAACTTTCGCAGGACCTTCCAAGGACATTCCCGGGACGTCCCAAGGATTTCTTCGGAACATCCTGGTGGCATTCCTTCGCCGGTGGGATGCTACATTGAAGCGAGCGGTGGCAACCTTATTTGGACCATTCACAGAAGTAAGTACGAATTGTTTTGTTGGAGTCCAAATTGTATCACACACAAGAGTTTGATCAGCTGGTACAAGACGCTGCTAGATAACAGAAGACGCAATTCAATTGTGTCAACGAGTGGTTTGAAATGAACGCGATTGAAAAGATATTCTGTCCAATTACTAAGTAAATAAACATAGAATTGTAGGGTATAATTTTACAGGTTATATATTGAAAAACAGTGCACCAATTGTTGTGAAAAAAAGATTTTTTTCATACTGAAGTGTCTTAAGGTATAGGAAAATGAGCCTGTATTATTTTAACATGATTTACTTATTTTTGTGTACTATAGTCTGGGGGGATTTTCATGTTTAAGACAGTGTCTCTTCCGATGAATATTTTGCAGTTTCTCTGATACTAATTAGTTATGACTGATATTATTGATAAAAGAATTACTTCTTTTTTTATATAATAGGGATACTAATCGGCTTAATTTATTTCCGCCGACAGCGGTAGTCGCGGAAGCAGAACAGAAGGTTAGAGACCATGACGTTGACGACGAACATCACTATTTTCGACTATGTTTTCGAATATGCTTTGAGCAGTATAAACGTTGCAAAATGTATGTGACAAACTTTATTAAATTGAGAAATTAAAAATTAATTGATTCTTGTTTCTTTGAAAGATTAATGAAGTATATATGACAATACATAAATAATCAAAATAAACGCTTGTGCGCCACTAATTCTTGTGAATGGAAAAGTAAACGTAAAATAGAAAAGGTATAATAAAATTTTGATCTTATTTTTTGGGTTTATTTTATTTTTTTTAGAATTTTTGTAAAAAGTACTCTGAAGATCTTATAAGATTCGAATGTAAGAATTAAAACATTCAATTGTACATATGTATTTGAAGAGTTTTTTTTTATATAATATTAGTTTAATGTATAAAAATAGTAACAGTTAATTTCTCTATTTCTATATCTATTTATCTCTATTTATCTTCTGTTTTTTATCTCTATTACAATAATTAACAATTAATTTTAAGAAAATCATTAAAATGAATTAATATTAGCTTTACAAATTATTAGTGAGATGATATATATTAAAACTTTTTAAAATTATTTATAATAATATGAATCTATTTTTTATTATATAATATTGAAAATAAATATGAATGTTTTTATATATATATTGGAGAACATTTAATTTGTTTGATATATATAAAATAGAATTTATTAATTAAAATCTGTAACTAATAATGAGCATATCGATAAACTTTTTTAAATTTGTTAAACGATTAAATGTTAAACAATTTCATTATGTGATCTATTCAATTCATCTTTTTAAGGAATAAAATTTTAATAACAGATAATTATCAGCGATTTTTATGGACATATATATATATTTTTTATTAAATAAAAATGTTTTTATTTATTTATTAGAACTTGAATAATATTTAGGAAAGTCTTTTTGTCGATCATCATGAAATTATTTCGCTACAATTCTCAAATCCTTTTTCTCGTCGGTGTGTGTGTTCCGAGTGAAACTTAATAAGACTTTTCCTTTCTCCTCATTATTACAGTTCTGCTGTTATTTATTGTGTACTTTAATTTTTAACTATTATTTCATATATCGTTCGAGATCTAAGATCATGCTGTATTTATGAAGTAATTTTGTTCGACGTAGTAAAACAGTTCAATATGTTATTTTAAATTACGAGCTACATAATTATCAAGATAATATATATTAATAATATTATTTGTGTTGACAGCATTGTAATAATATAAAAATTAATATTAAATATCGATATTATTCTTTATGATAAATAATTTTATAATTAATTTAAAAAATGTACATATAAAATTGATTAGACACATGTACTGGACAATTTTATTATATTGAAGAATTATTATATATTAAGTAATTAATGATACATATATAATATATGTATATATACATATATATATATACATCTAAAATAATTTGATATATTCGGTCATCATCATCATTAAAGTAATTGCGATATAGATGAGTTCAACATTTTGTTCATATTTTTAAATCACCCATTTAAAACTCAAGTGTCACCTTATATTATTAAATTTGTATTTATGGTTGTATTATGAATATTATGATAACAATATAACCATAAATGTTGGTTTGATATTATTTAATGTTAATTAATGTTTTATAAACCTCTATTATAAAAATTTTTTTCAAAAAAGTATTATCTCAGCACTAAGTTCAAAATCATTTCTACTTTCAAGGAGAGAACTTCTAGAAACTGGAAAATGTGAACGTCGACTCTTATTGTTAAATGTTTTCGTATGTTAGTTGAAAAATGATTTTTTTTTATTGTATGTACTATTTATGGCGAGAAATATTAACTTATGTGAACCTGGCACCCGACTTCAAGAAAAAAAATTCTTTTTTTTTTATTGGATAGAGCTAGGTTTGTACCCGATTGTACCACCGTTCTCTTCGTTTGTACCTCAAGGATATGAGTTTTAATGATCGAATTCGTTTAATGATTGGAAATATCCAATCTGTTTATTCTATATTTTATTATAATATTTTATTAATTTTGTATTTTATCTCTATGTTTAAGTATTCATTATATTATTATTACGTAAGTCTGTTGAAACATCATATTATGTAATTATAATAATTGTCTCTGTGAAGTTAGCACCTCAACTTTAAAAATCGGAAATTTTAATAACAGTACTGTTTGCACCCGCAATAGTTCTAGAGTTCCTGATAGGTTTCATCAATAGTACTGTTGATTTAGGCCAAAAATTTTAAAAAATAAAAATATACGGTGCTAACTTCGCGTGGCACCGCAAGATTTGAAAAAGCCGATTTTTATGACGGAATCTCACAGTACTCGAAGAGTACTACAGTTCCTGATCGATTATAACAATAGTACCGGCCATTAAATAGTTTTAAATAAATTTTAAAAAAAAGAGCTCGCACCTCAACTTTCAAAAAAATTATTTTTTTTACGCCATTTTGTGGTACTCGAAGAGTACTACAGTTCCTGATCGGTTTTGGTTTTAGTGACACTACCCAACGGCCAGTATACTGGCCGACTTTTCGACTTTTTCTGACAGTACTACAATAGTTCCGAAGAAATATGCAGGTGTCGACCCGAGTACTCCTCGTTTAATATGTTTAAATAATTTTTTAATTTTTCCGCTGGCACTGCACGACAAGAGTATAATACCTCTAAACAGCCAGTATTCGCGTCGAAACCTGCATATTTCTTCGGAACTATTGTAGTACTGTCGGAAAAAGTCGAAAAGTTGGCCAGTACTGGCCGTTTAGGGGCACTTTACTCTTGACGTGCGGTGCCAGCGGA